AAATCATGAAGGCCACCACTTTTTTTTTAATCTTCAATCATATCTTTAGTGATGCTCAAACTACTTTACGCTATGATCCCCATATAGTTTACATTCATGGCCTTTTGACACCAACGTCAATGGCCTTGCTAGACTATGTTTGAAGTAGTTCCTACCTATGGGAACCACACCCCACCATTAGTATCCTTTAGGTCATATTTTAACTCTAAGAATGATGTTATCCATCAATTGGCATAGGGAGGCGAGGATTACTTTGGAGAGGCAAATAAACAAGGAATCCTTGGAGGAACCAAAAGGAGAAGAAATGAAAGAAGGAGAAGAGGGAAACAACTTTTCAAAGAGAATGTATAGGATAACATGTCTCCTCCAGTCAATCTGAATCAGTCAATTATTTTTTAATAGTCTTTCTTATATACACATGTTTCACAGTATATATAAAAAAGAAACATCTAATAACATACTCAATATTTAGCTCACTGTATCATTTTAATGCATATAAAATTTACATATAAACCAAAATTAGTTGAATGTATAAGAAAATATAGTTTTTTTTTTCACATATATGTATCCATAATGGTCAAATTATAATAAATATGCATGTTATATAAGCATAGAAAAATATTGTAATAACTATTTCTCAAATTCTTAAGTTTATCCTAATTACCAAAATTTGGATATTTCCCTCAAACTATAAAAATACCTTTTGAAAATGTAATTTATATCTATTGAAATGCTCATATTGATGACATCTATCCATACTAAAAGTTCTGCGGTAGAAGTTTACTAAAAATCAAGATATCATAACTTTTTTTATTTTAATCAAATTAAAATACATAAAATATAAAATATATAAAATCATTGAAATTAGAGGTAGGGCGTTGCAACACTGGTGAAGACGAGCACCACAGTGCTATATATGTCAAAATTAATTTTTTTTCTAATATTAAATATCTTAAACCACTAGATCCCTCCACTTCACCATCTAGTTGCAGGAAAATAAGAGAGGGAAGGAGGAAGAGAAAAGAAGAAAAAAGGAAAAAATGAGAGAGATTCGGAGGCCAAAGTCCGAGATTCGTTCGTCGGGTCAGTTAGGAAAATTGTAGAGCAAGATAGACTCTTAAACCCTTATCTTCGATTTTAATTTCATTAAATTTATAAGGAGTTATAGACAAAATTAAATGTGTGTGTGTTTTTTTTTTTTACAAAGTTTTCACTGCATAACACTTAATATGTTGTTGTTTACTATGTTATGCACTTTTTAACTATATGAAAATGAATTTTAAATGGTTGGTTTTTCCTGCACAAAGTTTGAGTAATTTTTCAAATCGAGACTTTTCTGACAAATGTTATATTTATATAAAAAGATTATATGTTCATGTGAATATTCCTCTGAAGTTAAAAATTGAAAAGCGAAAGCTCAGTAAATCTCCTATTTTACACATAATGTGGCTTTTACTAATGATTCAAGTATGTTTTGAATATTACATTGGAAGTCTAAATTTAATATTGTCGCATTGCATTTACATTCTACACTTTACTGCATTTGAGATGTTTTGTTTTGATGTGGGAGAAAAGTACACTCTCTGTATATTACAAAGGCCCTAAAAATATTCTTATGGCCCCTTCTTCCGAACGCAGATGTGGGAGGGATTTTGTCTCCACTTACTAAAAGCAGGCGTGGGATGTTAAGTAACACTATAAGTACTTTTATGACCTATTTTGATTGATATAGGTATGGAATGAATTTTGACCCTATTTGTTATATACAAGTGATCGAGGTAGGTAAAATGGAGATATAAGTGGAAGTTGAGCTATAAGCAGACATCAGGGCATGTGCATTATAAGTAGCATATTTTATATGTTAGTATTTTAATGAATTAAAAATAAGAAATATTTTGAAATATGTATTAATGAAAGTTGAACCTCTATATGAATTATGTAAAAGCGAGCCTTTAAGAATAAGCATTATGTCTTATATCCATAAGCTTTTGGGAAAATGGTTATGAGCTTATGAAAGTATAAGTGCTAACTTTGAGATGATATATATACTAGAACCTCTATATAAGTGCTTGACCAGGGTACAACCTCTTACAAATGTCTGGTGAGAACATCCACGAATAAAGAAAAAAGATATGGGCTTAAGGCTAATCCTTGATGTAATCCAACTAAAATAGGAAAATACTTCATCAAACCGCCATGTAGGGGTGTCAATTTCGGGTCACGGGTCGGGTTCGGGTCGAACCCGAACTGTCCCGGGTGGAAAACGGGTCGACCCTAACCCGACCCGGGTAGAGAAACGGGTCGAAAATCCGAACCCGAACCCGACCCGGCGGGTTGTCGGGTTGA